ATTAAAAAGGGTAGCTCTCCTTCACAACTATTAACTAACTTATCTAATGATGCAATCAGGGAAAGAATAACGACAAACTGATGAAGGTTTCTGGTTATACTTGCACTTATAATGGAAAAAAATTGAAATTCTGTCTCTTCAGTCAAGCCCTCTTCTTTGGTCTCTTTGGACCTGACTATTCTTTTATATTTTAGAGGACTCTATTATCAAAAAGTATTTAAGTATTAAATTTTGATTTATCTTATTAAGAGAGAGAGCCGGTGCGATTTACACCACTGCTGAAAATGAACATACGAAGACCCATTTCTTTACTATTCCAGGACTATACAATTTTGTTTCCTATGGTATGAAAATGGGTTCAACTGAAACAAATATTTTACATTCATTCCTCAAAACGACAGACTTTTTAATCAAAAGAACATCAATTTATACAAACAAGTGTTATCTGAGCTAGATAAAGATGATCACTAACCTGGGAATGCCACGGCTCAAGTCAGTGATAGCTATATGATAAGTTTAAATTCCTGAGCAGAATCACATAAACATAGTAGTGCCGATAATAACGCAATTAAATGCACCTTTCATAAAGATATGTGTAAAAAAACTCTATAACTACAGCGTTGATAAACAAAGTTTGACAGAAAAAAGTTCATTACGCATTCTTCCTTGCAACGATACAGCAGAAATTATAAACAAATCAGTAGCACAGGGAAAAATAAATTAGCACAATTAGTAGAATAAATACAAGATGAAAAGAATTTGTCAAAAGCCGATCATCTTCTCCTCTCCTTTGAATTACAATTACAATGAAGGACAAGAGCGACAAACTTTTCAGTCACAAAGACGAAGCCTCTTAAGAGTCTCTCACACTACAGTAGATACTCATTACATAACTTAAGCCTAATGCTTAAAAGAAAAAAACTAACAATCCCAATAGGAAGAGGGCAATTTTTTGGCCTCTCTCTACACTTTGGGTTTCTCCGTTTATTGTTTTTACGATCTCAACTTAACACTCATTCATCACCTCATAAACATATTCACAAACAAGATTTGAATGACAGGATATCGTACATAACTCATGGTGACCCTCTTTCTTTCACTCTATATATACAAGACTAAAACGAATTTGTTTTGGTTTCTCATCTCTCCCCAAAAACCTCACTTTTTAATATCTTTTTCTTTGTTGTAGTTGTTTTCATTATCATCGCTGCAACATGATTTACCTAAGCTACAGCAGAGATGCTGCTGCAGCAGTTGAAGCCTTCAATTCTCACAGCAGCTGGCTTAATCCCAAACTTCACTGGAACACAGCCGCCTCCATTATTACGACCACAAGTCGAAGTAAAGGAGGGTGGTGGTGAAGGTGCTCCTTCTGGAATTGCTAGTATAGGAACAAAATTGTCGTTGCCGAATTGGGCATCCTGAATCAGGGGATTCGAAACCCTGCTGGGCGGAGACCCAAAAAAGAATGGTGGTGATGAATCCATCTCAAAATTGGTCATCTCCACATCATAGCTCCCCTGTTTACAGAAAAAAAAAGTTATCAGCTGTAGTAATTGAATTATAAACAGTTCACATCACAAACTAAATCAACCATAATTTACCTTGGTGAGGATGATATCCAGAAGTTCAGTTCTGGCTTTCAAATCATAATCATTCATTTGCTGATTACTACAAGACCCAAAAAGAGAAACACCAAAATCAATTAACAAAAGGGAAAAAGGGAGAAACTAAAACAGCAGACAGAAGACGTATATGAACCTACTTGATTTGCAGAAATCGAGAAGGTCTGATGGGTTCGTTGAAAAGCCCATTCCGGTGAGGTTTGGGGCAAACAAGACCATCAGAAACAGAGATATCTGCCCGTCTAATTTCTCCAACTCCAACACAACCCATAAAGGCCTTCTGCTGATAGCATCTATTCATTTTTTTTCGATTTTGCACAACAGATCTAAAGGGCTGAAGCAATAAAGAAGAATACAGTGTATCAAAAACTTGAGATCTCTATGATCACAGCTATGAAGATGTATTGGTATATATATATATATGTTCGATATTACTAAAAATAAAGATGATGGGGGGAAATAGAAGGAGTAATTGGATAAGAAAGAGAAATACGTAAATGGAAAAAAGGGTATTTTACCTGTGTGGGTGAGGAACTGATGGCGCCTGTGAAGGGATAAAATGGAGGGGAGAGATTTTAGGGGAACGACGAAGAAAGAGAGGTACATATACCAGTACTAATTCAGTAGTGAACATGAGCAATAAAGAGATAAACATCTCAAACTCCGTCCGTCCGATTAAATTTAAATCGCGTATTATATGGCTCAATTAAAAATACCATTTGCAAAAAAACTTTCTAGTTCAATTAGAGAAATGTAGCTCTCAACTTTACATCATGAAAATCGGTAAATTATTTTTGATAAATAAATATACAGAGGAAACTTTTACATAAATAGAACTATAGAAGTAATAATTTAGTTAAATAAACTCGATCTCAAACAGTTACATTTATAACTCAATATAAAAATATAAACTTAAAAAAAAAAAAAAAAAAAGGTACAGTGAATTTGACCAAGTTGTTGACTGTCCGTCCGAAGGTCTAAATCAGGATTATATAGTAAACATCATAGAATAAATGAATTGTTCCATTGCTATAATTCTAAAGATGAAATGGTCAAATAATTTAATATTAAATTGAAGCATGCAGAAATTTTGATTTTAAATTCTACAAAAATCTAAATCAAGATTATATTTTGACCAAGTTGTTGAAATTAGTCTAAACTTACCAGTAAACTTTGAAATTAATAACAAATGCTCGAGGCCAACTCAAAAGGATTGGGGTCTAAAGCAAAACTTAACAGAGGGGCCCTAATATTTTATTTTTTCATCATATATACTTTTATTTAAATCTACTTTTCTAGCGTTTTTAGATACAAAGTCATTAGTTACTACTTCGTAATTGATTTGTTTTAATAATTCCTTTTCAATTGATAATATAGCTAATTCAATCAATTTCTCTTGAGACATTGTTAATCTTAAATAAAATTAATCAATTTTAGTTTCAAAAAAGTTCTTTCGACTGAGTCAATATTTAGCGAAACTGCTAACATTATTCTATAAGTAATATATGTATTTGGAAAAGAATCAATTCTTTTTATTTGATTGAGTATTTTCATTAGATCATTATCCTCTACTTATATTATTTCTCTCAACACTTTTAATTCAAAAAATAAATCTAAACTATCAATTTCAAAATAACTATTATGTGTTAAAGAAAGTTTAAGGTGAAGACAATATTTTTTTTTTAAAATTCGTCATCTAGTCATCTCAATTTACCACTAAATAAGAAACCAAAAATATTTTCATATGCTTTAATTGGTTCAAATATATTTTGAAGTAAAAAAATAGCATAAAGTAATCAACACTAATTTCAAGGGACTTAGTGATTTAGTTATCAATATTTTCATCAAATTATTTTTTACGAAATTCAGGTTCTATATACATCTCATAAGCAATTTTCATAGTAGAAATCATAGCATTCACAGTATATACTAATTTATTTTTAAAAAAATGGGAGTCCCTAAAAATATGGGGCTCAAGCGATGACTTTAGTGGCCTAGGGGTTGAGACAGTCTTGCAAATGCTCCACATTGGCTCAAATTCAATAATTGTGTTAAAAACTTTACTCAACGTATATAAATAATTAAACATAAAGTTAATAACTTTTTAGCAATCTAGAACGTAGAAATTTAACATCTTAACTAGCTCCATTTTTGTGCTTGTTATTTATTTTGTGAGAACTACGGTTAATGAGCTAGCTTTTTACTTAGAGATTCGACACATTTTGATACTTTGACACATATCATATTTCTTGTTAGGAGCAAAAATTACAAAATCGTTCATGCAACCAACCATACAATTAAATGAATTCAGATCTCACAGAATTAAAATTGCAAAATTGTGGCAATGAACAAAAAAGATTAAATAACGATCGAAAAAGGTGATGCCATGGTAGGTGAGCTTCTAACCTACCACCAACTATTTTGGGTTTAATTATTACTGTACACGGTTACTCCAACTGTCCAAAATTAAATACTTTTTTTACTTTCCTAATTTATGAATCACTCGTGAGAGTAAAATCTAGTGACTAGTATTTTTCTTTTTTATTCTATATTAGTTATTCATTTTATTAGAAAAGTTATCTTAAATCACTTGTCGATTGATAGATCGCATAAAACTGATGATACAAATTAAGACAATCTTTTGTTTGACTGACATGTGTTAAGCTGCTACCTTTTACTTTTCAAGTGCACAATCTTCAGCTTTAATTTTCCTTTTAATTCAAGTAAGGCTGCCCTTGTCACTATCCTCACATAGCCATCTTTTTCCTTTAATCCATTTGCTTATATAAACTTTCTCTCGTTTTAATTTGTTTGACTTGATGCGAAATTTAAAATCTAAAAAGAAATGGCTTAATGTTTGTAATCTAAAATCAGTGATACGTAGAAAGTATTAAAATAACATTTAGTCTTATGATTATATTTATATTATGTGAAAAGTTAAAATTAGAAAATTTTAAAAAAGAAAAGAAATAGTCTTTTTAAAACAAACTAAAAAAATAGTAGGACAAACAAATTAAAATAGAGACAATAATTCACTATTATCAAAATTGTTCATAAAATTCTTTTGTCATCCCAACAGGCCACATGCATATTTGAACTTACTTTAATTTGTACTATGCATGGGTCACCCACCCTTAATTTCTCTTTTTTCCAAGTACTTATTTACAAAACAACAAGTTTATGAGGGTATTAAATTAAAATAGCTAGAGTTTGAAATATACATTGTTAATGTAAAATAAATTTTACACTATCAAGTTATTTTTATCAGCTTATAACAGGTGATATATCTTATTTTGAATCCTACATTATAAGCGAAATCTACTTATAAATATTGATTTGATAGTATTAAAAAATTATCTAGTCGAACAATATATAAAAAAAAAACTTAAAATCATTCAACTAATGTGTGCTGGGAAAAAAAGTGGTGAAGCATCTCTATGTAATTTGCCATCAGAAACTCTGACTTTGCTCATTTTGTCTTCACACCAATGCAATTGTTCATCATTCACTTCACTCATTCTTAATACTCTTGATACCACTTTTAAATCTATTAATCCCATCAATATATCCATTTCTTCTTCTTCTTTTAATCTCCTTTTTCCCAAGCTGCATTTTCCTGACCTACCAATATCCTTCACCCTAGTCTTTTTCTGCATATATCAAATAAGTTGCTCGTTAAAATATGATGAGTATTTATAATCTTGAAAATAAATCAGATAGATACGCGCCTTTTTGTTGACTTTCTTGAGTAAGAGGAGAAGGGTAGGGTCAGTAGAGGCTTTTTTGTTTCTCCTAAAGAAAGCTGTCATTAGTAATTGACAAGGATTCTCTTTGTCTGCTTTGAGGAATTTCATAAATGTTCTGATTGCTTCTTCCATTATCCCAAGAAATGAATCTGATGATATTCTCGACCATAATTCTTCTTGTCCTTTTTCCTCATCTGAATCTAGTCAAAATTTTGTTATTTATAATTTCGAGATGGAGACAAAAAGAAGATCTAAATTACATACAATATCATATTATATTAGAAGAAAAAAAAGTTCACTATTACTAGTATAGTTTTACTTGCTTCAACAAGTCAGGTACACACTTCATTTGTTTCAATTTATTTGTCTGATTTTAACTTGACAATGAGTTAAAGAAAGTAAAAGAGATGTTTGAATCATGTGATCTTAAACTAATGATACATAGAATGTATTAAAATATCATTTCATCTTGTGTTCTTAAATCTATCATGAAAAAAATTGAAATTAAAGAGTTGTAAAAAATAAATACACATTCTTTTTTAAATGGACTAATAAAAAAGTATGACGAACAAATTGAAACGGAGGGAGTATCAATGTTAAGACGAACAAACTGAAGAGGATACACTATAATAAGTACTTTAAAGAAAAGTTCACCATTACTTGACAGTTGACACACGGAATTTAAGTAAATAAAGAAAGACATTTGAATTTTGTGACCTTAAACTAAGAATATGTAGATGGTACCTAAATGTCGTGTGAAAAGTTGAAATTTAAAAGTGTCAAGAAAAGGGAAGATACATTCTTTCTCGAACAAACTAACGAGAAAAGTAAGATCAACAAATTGAAATGGAGGGAGTATAATGTTAAGATGAACAAATTGAAGTATCACGTGAAGATGAACAAATTGAAGTATTATGTGACAACGAACAAATTGAAATAGAGGAAATATCATATTTAAGTCAGAACAAATTGAAATAGAGGTTGTACATGTTTCGTAGGACACCTATCCATGTTCGTTATAAAAATTATTCATAAAATACTTTAAACTCAAAAAAGGGATAAACTAAATTACCTCTATATTCAGGAACTTGAAGCAACTTTGGAGCTAAACTTCTCATCCTAGCATAAACCTCAGGTCTCTTACCATGTTCATATGGCTCATTCTCAATGTATCTTTGTAAAAGCACTTGAAACTGTTGAAAATGTTGAGCTACATAAGCAGGACAACCTGGATCTTCTTCAAGACGCGAAGCTCTTAGGCTTTTGAAGTATTTGTAATTCCAGCTCAGCGCTTCCCATGCTAAGCATACCTACACATGTCAGCGTATTCAAGATTTGAATTTGATGAATTTAATGTGTAACTTCTTAATATATACTTAACTCATCGCTACTCTTGTTATAATGGATTCAGAATTTAGTATGTGTTAAAATGTCCGTATGTATTTTTGCTTCCTGTGTACCTGTGCTACATAAGCAGCCTCCAATTCGTGATATGGATTGTGTCGAAACTCCGATGATTTCCTGTTTTTCATCGCCAATTTATGAACAACCCTGTCTGATATTGATCTTGGACATGATTGAATGGATCTTAGTGATTCTGAAGAAAAGAAAATGAAGAATTTAGATAATGTTGAAAAAATATATAAGTAATAAATTCTGAAAGTGTAACGTTTAGATGTTTGTTGCACACTTCAGTTCTATAGTTCAAGTCTTACTGTCACCCATTATGAAAAAGTTTTTCTACGTGTTTACCAACGAAATTGAATTTGAGTGGGCAAAGTTAGACATTACCTGTTTCATGGAGTTTTTGTACACTGATTTTATCTAAAAACAGCATTTCTTCATCATATTTTTGGAAGACGGTATAAGATTCCCATTTGGGGCAACTTCTTCTTGAAGAAGAAGAAAACGGATCTTCTTCTCCTGAACCCGAATCTTTAATGGAGCTTCTCCATTCAGAAGAACTCTTAGAAATGGACCCAACACTATAAGAATCTCCAAATATTTTATCAATATTATTATCCTCCTTTTTTCGAAATTCGAGTTTCTTGCTCTCTAACTTAGCTGGTGCATAAACCAAGAAATTATCCTCTCTACAAAACTTTCTACTCTTCTTTACTTTCTTATCCTTCGTGACTTTTGTATAAAATTTCCCTGCATCAACAGAAGCCAGTGTGTAAATCAACACATTTTTAAAAATTTAATCAACGATTAAACATTGTACGTACCATGATTAATGTCATTATCCATCATGTTCAAATCACATTTGTTAGTATTCGATTTGAGATTCTTCTCTTCAACATCGTTATCATCATCACTATGAACAGATTCTGAAGCTAGTGATGCATAAACAGAATCTCCTTCATCAGCCACTCTGCTATTTAAGTTATATTCAACTTTTTCACTTTCGCCAAATGTGTGTGCTAGAAAATGTTTTTCCTCCCCTGTTTCAGCTTTGTTATGATAATTATATTCATTTTCTTCGTCTGAAAACTCAGCAAATTCATATCCATTAACTCGATTCCTGCAAAACTCACAATAGTTTGTCACATGGAGTTTGAAAACATAGAGATAGATCATGACTAATAACATACGATACGATACGATACATACCTCCAGAAAAATAGATTTCCGCCAAGAAAGTAGAAGAGTTTGCTAAGTAAAATAGAAGTGAAGTAGGAGAAAATGAGGAAAAGTTGAAATGAACTTGAGACATTATAGAATAGCCTTGCAATTTTTTCTTTAGAACATTGCATTGTTTTCTTAAATTTGGTTGAAATTATGAAGATTTTTGAGTTTCTAATGATCTTCTTCTTTACTTAGGTAAAGCAAAAAATAACCAAGTGGCACTAAAGAATAAAAAGGTCAGTCCTTTAATTGCTTTCACAAATTTCCTTGTTTGTCAAGATGGTCCTTTGCTTTTTTTCTAGATCAATTATATATTCCATAATAAAAACACAAAATATAATTTTTAAAAAGAAGAGACCAAAACCCAGCCACACGCATTTGTAACTTGCTCTTTACAAAAGAATTACTCCATTAGAATACTCTGGTGCAGGCAACATGGACGGAGCTAGGGTATCGGAAGGGAACCCCATGTCGAAAAATTAAACTCTATATATAGCACCTCCATTAATTTCAATGATACATGTCACCATCAATAGATATCAGATAACTCTAGGTAACTCTATCCACCAACTCTGAAACACATAGGAAGAAATCACCTAGTGTTTTTTTTTCTCAATTAGAATTAAAACCTGAAACATTATGATTCTCAACCATTTTATTATCCACTGGTCACACCAATACGGTATAAGAATGTTATTCTTTTCATTCTATATGAAGAAAGAGCCAGGACAATAGTTAAAAAATAGTACTACATTTTAAGGTTCTCATATGGAGCACTTCTATTCTTAAGGTTAATTTAAGTTATACACATTTGATGATATATACGAGTAAAATTGTTAACTTGTTATAATAAGTAATTTATATTATTTTCTATTGTTGTTCATCTTAGTCTAAAAGTGTAAAAAAGTTGCACTGAATATATGGCCTATATTTTGTCTCTAACTTGGCCCCAAAGATTTGTCAGGATTACAAGTAGGATGTAGTAGTTCATTAGTGGGACAGCATCCTATCCTAATCGTGTTTAATGAACTTTATAAGATCCTTAAAATAAACACTTGACATTAACTAAATTTTGTGAAATTAAAGCACTTGTAATGTATGAAAAACAAAGTAAAAATGTTTTTCAGTGCTTACAAAAAAAGAAAAAATGTATTCATGCTCTAAACTTGTATTTAATATGTATATCGTCATATATAATTACTTTATAATCTATGTATATAACTGGCTAAGAAAAATAGTGAATTGGTCCGGCTATTTGTGTAAAGGTGAAAAATGTTGCAGGACTATTTTGTCAGTTTCCAATAGGGTAGTGGGCTATTATATGGGCCATAAAACTACTGGGCCATGAAAGCCCAATTAAGTAGCAACTGCTTTCTTCTCTTCCTCCTAAGGAAAAAAAAAAGAACATTCCCTTCCGTCCTCCGGCTGAGAGTACGGTGGAAGAGGCTGAGAGCAATGGCCGGCGACGGTTTACCGTCGAATGTGACTGGAATGTCTAAAATAGAGTTATACGATGTTATGTCTCAGATGAAGGTACTCATAAATGTGTATGCGTGTAATAATCCATACATAATTTTCGTACATGAAGATTAAATCAATTTTGATTGTTTTTCTTTTTGTTTGTTACTTGTATTCTCTTCCTAGATCTACCTGATGAAATTGCTGTAAATTCTTGTGTGTTCTTGTGTAGGTTCTTGTGGAACAGAACCAGCAACAAGCAAGGCAAATTCTCATCCAAAACCCTAGCTTGACTAAAACACTCTTTCAGGTCTTATTTCACTTTCACCTTTTCTTCTGATGTTACTCGTTTGGTTTACTTTTGACCTAGTATGTAAATTGTGCAACTATTACTGTTACAAATGCTGAAATTAGGGTTTTAATTTCTCTAATTATTGGAATAGTGTAGTTACACTGAGAAAGTGTGATTTGGTTTAAAACTTGAAATCAGATATTCATGAGAAAGTGTGATTTGGTTTAAAGCTTAATATTTGAAAGTTGTATGCCTTGTTATTTTGGAAGTTTGATGTTTTATATAATTTAACATTTAGAGAGGCGTGATGTAGTTGGTGAAATGTCAAATTTTCATGTCTTAAAGACAACTCTCCTTCCCCTCTTGCAAGCTCTCAAGATAACTTATGCATTGATTTTACTGTGGTATGGGTGATGTTTCAAGGAATTACTGTCTGTCTTGTATTATGAATCATCACAAGATTCCGTGGAAGATTGCGACTATTAGCTTTCACAATAGGAACCCTTCATATGAATTTGGAGGTTTCTTTGTTGACTTCTTATTCTCTGATGTGGGTTTTTACAATGATGTGTTTATTAGGCACAAATAATGCTTGGGATGGTGCAGCCCCCACAAGTGGTAAGTTGGTGTACATATTATTTTGACCTTATGAAATATCTATTTTCCACGCCTACAATGTGATGCAGTTCTAGATATGTACTTTTTTCTGCTTTTAGATACCAACCATCCAGCCAACAGGAGCATTGAGTACTCAGCCATCAGTATCTCAGCTTTCACAACCAATTGTTCAGACCACTCCATCATTGCCAGGGCATATTGGCATTCAGGAGCAAACAAGAAAGCAGCAGCAGAATCAACCTGCTCCAATAGTGCCATCCGCTTCTCTTCCACCCTCGAACCTTCAATCCACATCCATGCCATCTCATCCATTGCAGACAGTGCAGCAGCAGAAAGGACTTATTGGTGCTCAAGCCACACCAATCTCTTTACCACAAACCTCTCAAGTTCCTAATATGTCCCAGCTTCCTCGTCATTCTGCTCCACCACTGCCATCTCATCTTCAACAACAGATGCATCCAGCATCTCCCAAGTTGGAGCAACCAATGCAAACTAGTGGAAACCAACACCTGGCTATGCAACCACAGCTACCACCACAAGTGAGACCATCGATGCAACCCTTCCCCCATCAAGTTCACCCTCACATGGGGCCCAATGCTGGTTATCCGCAATCTGGAGCAACCCAGCACCACCATTCACAACCTGCTTATCATGTAATTATTATGCCTTTAGTGAGTTTAAGGTTTACTTTTTCCATGTATAAGATGTAAATATTCCTTTTATCATTCAGCCTGCAATGAGGCCTCCAGCAAGCATGGGACCTTCTTTTCTACCGGGACAACCACCTGGTCAAAGTCAGCTTCCACCCCAGCCTCTATATCAGGTGCCCTAGTTTTTTCAAATCTATGTGACTGAAACTTTATGTTACCTTTGGCTGTTTCTTGCTCTACTAAATTTGGTTGATGTTAGTAAGGACCATGGTTAAATTTAAGTGCCTCTTAATAGTTACCTCTTTTCAAATGCATGACTCCGTGCCAATCTTGCTGTTTAAGATTTCCACATAGCTGTATTAAATACGTCAATGTCATGATCATTCGTTATGTGGGATTATGAAGTAGGATAGATGTAGGGGTTTCATAGTCTTGGCTAAAAAATATCTAATACGTTCAGACGTATGCTAGAATCCATCATAGTTTGCATTCTATCTTTGCTCACTTAGCTCATGAATGATGCTTTGCTGGTACTGTTTTCTTTTGAAAGATCTGGGTTACTGACTTTCTTTAGCATACCAAATCATTCCTATACCCTTGGTCCCTTCAGCCCAAACTAACTGTTCTATTTTGACTCTATTTTCATATTTCTTATTTGACTATCAAAATATTCTTAGTTTATTTGGTATAGTTGGAACTAAAATGTAGTATTTTTCTTGTACTTTTACCATTTATTGTCAAGGTCATACAACAATTTGCAATATTGTTCTTGTTGTTTCTTTTGTTTGTACCTTCAACATTTAAGTTTGATATATTGTGTGACCATCTCATTTAAGCTTCTTAAACCTACTTAATTTTATTTTCGATATGCCCCTTTTGGTTTGATTCACAAACACGTGGATATTATTTCTGCAAAGGGTGGTAGTTAGACTTGAACTAAGGACCCTTGTGTTTTTTCTAATACCGTGTCAAATGTAGTATAACCTCAAAAAAAAGTTGTCAAAAAATACCTTGTCAAATTGTGTGAACACAGAATGTAAAAGTTAAGGTTGTTACAGGTGGCACACTTTATCTTCAGTAGAGTTTAAAACTTGACAAAGTATAACTTGTCAACCATTCCCAACTCATCTTTCTGTAACATGATGTTTCCAATGACAATCTAATATGTTAGTTCTGGCAATGGTCCACAATGCACTATAATTTTTGGTGTCTATTGCTTGAAAGAGAATTCTTAGCTCTTACTCATTTTAGAGTATATGTCTAGTACTATTATCATGGGATTTGACATGCTTTTGTATGTGCAAATATCTAGATGGGAGGTTCACATTTGAGACCAGAATTCAATCAAGTTGGAAATTCAATGCAAGCAGATCGAGGATCTCCTTGGATTCCCAGCTTACCAGAGAATACATCAGGAACACAGCTCCCAGGGCCACCATCTTTCCCTGCACAGATGGGCCCAGGCAATCAGCCTCCTAGACCAGGAGCAGTAATATATCTGCAGTCCTATTGTTCACGTTTTTAGTTTAAGAACAGACTGTTGGTTTCAGACAAAAAATAAGTTAATCTTGTTGATGTGCAGCTGTCCCCAGAGATGGAGCAGGCACTTCTTCAGCAAGTAAGGAGTCTGACCCCAGAACAGATTAACATGCTACCTCCGGAGCAAAGGAATCAAGTGCTTCAGTTGCAGCAAATGCTCCGTTAATCAGAAGCAAGTGCTGCAAAAGACGGTTCTGCCAAGAAACTGAAATATGCCTATCTGGCTAATCGATTTTTCTATTTATCAAACAATCACCATTGGGTGTAGATGGACAGTGCGCTCCTTGTTCAATGGTGTATTTCCCCCTTTGTTAAGGTTATTTTTCCTTAGCTCAAGTAGGGTTGCCTGTTGCTAGCAAATCATAACGGCTATAGGCGTTGATGGAGCTCCTTTGGTGCATATATATCCCATCTTCTCCATCCTGGATGCTCTCCACTTTCTTTTTTATGTACCGTCACATATATGTAGCATGTCACTGTATTAGAAATAGCCTAATGCTCCTCAAATATGAGATTGTGAAACAGTATAGTCCCTTCCATTTATCTTGTATCCAAAATTTCTAGAAACATTTTGGATTTGCAGATGCATCTTGTTAACAGTTTGCAGGACTTTGTGGAAGGTATAGTTGGATTTCATTTTGGG